TTATTTATTTATTTATTTATTTATTTATTTATTTATTTATTTATTTATTTTTGAAAACAGCATAAAGGAAGCGTAGAGGTCATGGGAATCAGTCTTTAAAATGTCCTTGGCTTGGATGCTGAACTGTGAGGAACTGAACTCACTTGACCTGAGGAAAGCAACCCTAGATCATTGCTTTAAGCACAGGTTACATGTGGCGTGGGCTAAGGTTGTTGCCTGGGCCGTGATCCACACCGAGGGAGCGACTGGAGCTGATGGATAACTTATCATCCTAAGTGCCCTGGTCTAAGCGGCGTGGCCTTCACCTGTAGGTGTGCGCACAGGCACGCACTGTGAGTGCGTTGTGAACTCTGCTTCAGAAGTTCATGTTGACATAAAAATCAGAATTTTATACTTATTTTGTTCATTTGTCTTTTTGTTCCGCTTTAGCTTCCGTTAAAGATCGATATCATTAAGCATCCGAATGAAACAGACGGCAAAAGCACTGCTGTGCACGCAAAGCTCTTAGCGCCCGACTCTGTGAGCATTTACACATACCCGTGCATTCCAGAGTATGAAGGGAAGGACCATGAGGTGGGTGGCGTGGCACTTAGCACCCTCACAGGAACTTTTGACTCCCTGTCCTTCTGAGCTTGTTTGAACATGCTTCAGCATCTTCTTAGCAGTCTAGTGTTGTGCTTACTTAATGCTGAGTGCACATTTTACTTCAGTCAAGTGTTCACAGATCAAGTCATCCTCGGCTTTTTTTTTTTTTTTTTTTTTTTAATTCCTCTGCTGGTTTGTTTTAGAGCTTTAATGCCTCACTTTAGGGTTTTATTCTTCACTGGTATTCTGCTTTTCTCTCCCTCCTCCCTCAGAATTCTGTCTGTATTGCTTGTAGATGGTCTAATTTGATACAGACTGGGAAACTGAATCACAACTGTCATTGAAATATCTGCAAAGAAGAAAAGAAAGACTGCCTCAAAGGGGTTTTTAGAAATTCTCCCCAAATTAAGAGTTTTCGTATAAAAAAACCTTTGCAATATTTCTTATAGCTGCTTACATGTCTTTCTTGGGCATACCGAGATTCCTAATTCATATTCTAGTTAAAACTGTCATTTTGGTGGGATGTTAATAGCCTTCTTATCAAAAATTAATTTGTAATAGATCTCAAAAAAGTCTTTAAATGCTTCTGAAAGAAGCATCTAAATCTTTTTTACTTTTTTGAGCAATATATATATATATACATATATGTTGCAATATATTACATATATAAACACATACATAAAGACATGTATATGTTAAATTTATGTATAAATAAACATTAAATTGTATACACACATTCATAAACATACATATATGTTGATATATACATAGTATTGTATGTTTCTGTGTAATTTGAATTTATTTAGAAAGTACATTTACAAATAATATCTGAGTTTGATCTAGTCATATGTTTGTATATCCTTTGGTCAATTAAATCCCATTTATTTAATTAAATAGAACACTCTTCTTAAATTTGAGACCTAGTTTCACTGTGTGGCGCACACTAGCCTTGAAACTCAAGATCCTGCTGTCTCAGCCTTACAGAATTTAGTCCCACAAGTGTATTTCACAGTCCTCACTATACTGTACGATTTACCCTCCCATCACTAATGGCTGTAAAAGCCATCACACCATTTCCTCCCCTGCCGTATTATTTCTTCTTTCCTTATACAGTGGAAATAGTATTTAATCGTTAAACAGTTTTCAGTGGTAACTTTTTAAAAGTATCACATATTTTGTCTTTTGTCTAGTTGACTGGCCTGTAACTCTTAGGAAGCCCAGGCTGGCCCTGATCTCATGTCCCTGCATCTCTAGTGCTGGGATTATAGAAGTGTAGCATCACACCACAGAAATAATTCTTAATTTTTTTTTTTTTAAATTCAAGGTGCTGTTAACTTGGCTTTGTCAATCAGTGACATATTTTTAAGTAACTTCTCCAGGTGCTATAATATTGAAAATAAGCTAAACTTTACCGTATGTGAAAGAAAACAAATAATAGAATCAACCTAATGCTTATTTTTTAGACACTCAGCAACTCTTTTTCTTAGAGTTTTAAGTCAGAGTTTATGTTGAAGGTCACAGTAGCATCTAGCTAACTTGAATTTCTTTGTTTTAGGTTGTACTTGTTTTTCCTGGGCCTCAGTCTATCTCAATTAAAGATGTCTCTTTTCATCTGCAAAAAAGGATTGAAAGTAAAGGTAGAGGCAAAGCTGATGACTTTGATATGCCACCTTTTAAACTCAAGAGAACTAAGGTGGAGGAAGGCTGTGATCTGAATGAGAGCACTTGCGAAGGCCCAGCATTGAAAAGAGCCGTCTTTATCGACAGCACGTGGAGCCAGACCAACCAGATAGCCTCTGATGAGCGGCTGCAGGGTAAGCAAGTGTATTTGGGACTTTCTTTCCCTGCCGGCTTTTATTTAGAAAAGCTTCCCATCTGTGCTTCCCTCAAAAGAACAGCTATATGCGGTGTTCACATTCGCTCCCTTTCTTTTCTCCCTTTCTGTCTTGCGTGTGTGTTTATGCATCTGTGTGGATGGTGGAGCCATTTTAAAGCAAGCAGTAGGCTTTACAGAACTGCTCTCCAAATACCATAGATCTTTTCAATAAGGACACTCCCATGTAACAAAGTTAATGCCATTGCCATTAAGAAAACAGAACTTGTACAATATCTAATGTACAGTCTGTCTTCACATCTCTTCGATAAATACAGTAATGGCTTTTGTAGCACTTTCCCCTCTGACACAGTATTTAGACTCAGATTTTTGATGCTTGTATATCTTTAGTTTCTTATTCTAGAGTAGTGTCCTATTTTTGTTTTTCTTAATGTAGGTTTTTGTAAAGTGGTCAAATTGGTTGACTGAATATCTCATCATGATTAGACCCATTCTATATATTTTGACTAGTATACAATATAGATTATTTAATATGTATGTGTATGTATGAGCGTATGTGCATGTTGGAGCCCATGGAGGCCAGAAGAGGGCATTGGGTCCCCTGTAGCTGGAATTACAGTCATGAGCCTATTAACATAGGTGCTGGGAACCAAACTTGGGTCCTGTGCATGAGCAGGAAGTGCTGTTAACCACTGTGCCATTTCCCCAGCCTCATAGTTAGGGTTCTTTAAAGTAAGACTATATCCAGGCCTGTCTACATGGTCGTTTGGATCTGTTATTTGTTGTCACTATGATAGTAGGTCCTTTCCCAATCAGTCAATCATTGTTGAGTGATTTATGTACGTTGAATTTAAGTTGCAGACTTACTGTTGCATTAAGTCAGGAGGCATATAAAATAATGTATTTCCATTATTAACTTAGGATTACTTGATTTCTGTGACGACTGCTAGATCTTTCCACCCTAAAGGTTTCTGTTCATTTAGTACACTAGAGTGATGCTTTCAGGCTACAGACTTTCTCAACAGAGTTTAGTATTCATGCATCATTGCTTCAATCAGTCACTAAGCTGACAAGTGAAACACGGTGGAAGTTCAGTTTGTTGCTCCTTCATGTGTTAGCTAGCCTTTTTAAAGCACCTCAGTAGTCTGTAGTACTGGCCTCAGCAGTTGCAGCAGTTCTTCTTTGACTTTCCTCCTGCCACAGACTCGGAACCATAGTTTTCTTACAGACCCGTGGTGTGTTTAGTATTACTAGAGTGAAATATTAGGAGTTGAGTAACGAAAGTTTACTAGTGTGTGCCATTTCTTGAGTGGACAGAGCCAAGGAAATAATAGGTGTACATACTGTGAGTTCAGGGTGGTAGTCTCAGCTCATCTTACTATTACAGGAGTTTCATTTGTTTCACTTCCATTTCTCTGTCTTTTATTTTAAAAACGCTGCCCATGTGCATAAGTGTTTATGTGTGTGTGACACACGTGCATATGTGTATGTACGTGTGTGTGTGTGTGTGTGTGTGTGTGTGTGTGTATGTGTGTGTGTGTATGTAGGCACATGCATGCTACTGAGCATATGTGGCGGCTAGAGAATAATGTTGGGTGTCATTCCTTGCCTTCTGTTATGTTTCAGACAGAGCTTCCGGCTCACTGCACCCGACTAGCTGACTCATAGCTTCTGAGGATCCTCCTGTCCCTCCCGTCATCTCACCAAAGGTGTAGGGACATAGCTGTGCGCCACTGCATCTGCCTTTACCTGGCTTCTGAGTTCCACTCAGGTCCTCATGCTGTTGGGCAGCAAGTGCGCTCCTCACTGAGCCACCTCCCAGCCTTGTATGACATTTCGCTTGAGTGAAATGCTGAGCTCCCGGTAACAGTTTAAGTTACTTTACTTGCCCAGGTAACACAGCTGGTAATCTGAAGGCCAGGAGCTCATACTGTTTCTCTTGTTTCTTTGTCCCTTTCTCAGTGCCTCACACATTCTTGGTGTTTTCTCTGAAAGCGTTCGGATTTTTCCAGTTATTGAACAGCTTGGTGATTAGAGGGCAAGAGAGCTACTCAGTTGGTATTGCATGGCTGCCGAGAGCAACCTCAAGAAAAGATGTGTTATGGTTTGTTAATCATTTCCAAGCTAAAGGAAGTACAAAGTGTGTTTCGCTGACTTAATTAACTTGTTAGCTAATTAATTAGTTTGTACCTCTGGGTTACAGGACTTGGAAGGATTCATTGTTGATGTTTAGAAGCTGAATCCATACTGTCCTGTGCTCTGAAGGAGTGAGAGATCACTGTGTCTGGGATATTTTTCTTATTATTACCTTATATGGTAATTACTAGGTTCAAATGAAAGAACACAAGTAAAAGTCCTTGAAAAACCTATAAATGGAATTATTCTGCTACTGTTCAAAGTCAGTTTGTTTAGGTTTGCCTAAAATGAGATTTGTCTCTGAGTCTGATGACCTCACTTCATATAGTGTTTTCCAATTTCTTGTATTTTTCTGCAGTTTTCAAAAGTTTGTATTTTTTTTCTTTACAACCAAATAGAATTGGATAGTATACATTTTCCTTATCCATTGATTTGTCGGTGAAGATGTAGGCTGGCCTCATTTCCAAAAAAGAATCTCTGTGGTATCATAAGAAGTCCACCGAGTTTATTTCCAGGAGTGGTGTAGTGAGGCTGTGTGTTATTTCATTCTTAGTGTTTTGAAAAACCTCCACAGTAATCTCCATACTGGCTGCAGAGTTTACATTCCCACAGCAATGAAGAAGAGTTCACTTCCCCCATCTCACCTTGTAGAGATCTCTCACTTCCTTGGTTAGGTTATTTCTAGATATCTGGGTTGGTTTCATTTTGTTTCTGAGGCAATTGTAATGGAATGTTTTTTTCTGCTTTCTTTCTCTGTAAGTCCATTATTGCTGTATATAAAAGCTACTGGGTTTTGTATCCTTTGACTTTGCTGAGCATATTTATCAGACCCAAAAGTTTTTCAGTGGAGCCCATGGGGTGTTTTAGTATAGAATCATAATGTCTCTAAGAAGCAATAGGTAATTTCTTCCTTTCCAGTTTTGATCCTCCTATATCTTTCTCTTATCTTACTGCTGTATCTAAAACTTCAAGAATTATATAGAATAGAAATCAGGAGAATGGGCACCCTTGCCTAACATTTTAGAGGAAATGCTCTGTTTTCCTTTGTTTAGTATATTGGTTATATATACCTTGTATCATATTGTGGTATGTTCTGTCTGTTCTTACTTTCTTGAGTACTTTTATTATGGGAGCATGTTGAAAATAGTTAAAGGTTATGCTGCTTAGTAAAGAGATTCTTCTCCAAGATCCATGACTTCACTGGCCCTGGGTAAACAGCTAACTCTCCAGTATCAGGCATGATTTCCCTCTTAGGTGGGTGTAATAGAAGTCTGGTTAGAGAGCGGTTGGCTACCCCCAGGGTTTGGGTGCCCTGCTGTGCCCTAGGATGATTGTGCTGTGCTGGTTATTGTTGTGGCTGGCTCAGAGGCATCATAGCTGACTAGGCCTGTTAGTTGCTTCTCTCTTGGGAGCCTGCATGGTGCCCTGTCTTCAGGGAAGAGGCTTTTGGGCCTTCTCTGGGCTCTATCTGAAGTGCATGGTGTCTTTAGCTGTAGGGACTCCCCTTCCGCCTCTGGGGGCAACCCAGGGCAGTAACCATCACCTATAATACTATGGAGTCTCTTGTCAACAGTGACCAACAACTCAAACGAGGGCTTCTCGTGCCTGGTGTTAGGGGGTTTTGTTAGATCTTTGGCCTCTTGGAGGGAACATTATCAGCTCGGATGAGAAAATTTTATTTTAACTATGTATGTATATTTATACACCTACTTATATTAAAGGTATTTTTTAGGTAGATAGTTATTTCCTTATGGCTTGTCCAGATATCTTTATAGTCATTTACCTTCCTCCCTCCTTCTTCTGTGTTTGTCTCCTTCCTCCTCTTTAGTTAGGGCCTATAACAAACTATAAAGAAAAAATAAGAGTGAATAAAAATGACAACTGTTTCAAGAAAAATGTTTTATCGGATAAATTAAATTCTTTTGCAAATGGATAATGAAGTTCTGTCAAAAGTGAAAACTTGAAAAGAAGCTGTCAGAAGACAGCAGGATAAAAGACTCGCTAGGCTGCTCAATTTAAAGTGTGTTGTACAAGATCTGAGACTCGGGGAGATTGAGTATGCATGCTCTCCCCTTCTCCAACATGTGTTGTTTCTGTATGTTCCTCTGTGCATTTAAAATAATACCCTGTTTAGAGTTGGAATAGGAAGAATTTATCTGTACTTTAAAAAAATCCCAGCAGCAATTAAATCATAATTATGTATCAATGCATATTATTGTACCAGTTATTGTTATTGTTCTCAATAATAATGTGATTGAGAAGTATTTATATGTTCCTTTTTTGTTTTTTTGGCAGAGTTATTACAAGTTGAACTGAAAACAAGAAAAACTTGCTTTTGGCGCCATCAAAAAGGGAAGCCAGATACTTTCCTTTCCACAATTGAAGCCATTTATTACTTCTTGGTAGACTACCATAGTGACATGCTGAAAGAGAAGTACAAAGGACAATATGACAATCTTTTATTTTTCTACTCTTTTATGTACCGCTTGATAAAGAATGCCAAAGGCTCGGGAGAGAAGGCAACCCCAAAAGTCATCCATTAGTTCTGCCACAGCACTCGGCCTGTGCCCTGCTGATGTTCAAGCTTGCAGTTGAGCCCTGTTTTCTCTGGAGAGATAATCATGCTCAATGCCTGTGAGAGGACTTGGGGAAAATTCTAGTTTTGCTCATTTTATCATCTTTTTTAAAGGAAAATTTCAGTTTTTACAACTTTTAAGAATGATCCTGACTGAAAGACATAGTTCAGAAGCTGTTTGCTTAGTTTGGGGTTATCTCAGTTGCATTGTACATTTTAACATGCTGTGTTACTTTATGTGATTGTGATTGTATGTGATTGTAGACTGTCTTATCTTTTCGCTTATACTCATCTTACCTTTGGATGTAAATGAAGTCAAAATCTTTTGGCAAAAAGAAAAGTGAAACATAATTTGCTTGTGGCTAGTGATAGTTGGCAGGAAAGTGTGTTATGTGTGTGTCCACACTTCCTCCCACTGCCTAGCCGCTGCCCTAGGAGAGAACTGTGGTGTCACATGGTCCTGCCAGACGGATGTGCATATGGCCTATTTTGGCAAGTCACATGGCCCAAGAGGACCATGTGTTTTGATGTACTAGGAATGCTGTAGAAGATGGAAATTATTTTTCAAGAGTTATACAATGTTAAAATAAATTTTTCTCATTTTTAAAACGTGTCTAGAAATAAAAATAAGCTTGAATTGATTTAAGTAGGGCAAAGTCTGAAATGGGGAGGGGTGGAGGTATGCTAAAGTTAGACTTCCCTGAGCCAAATCTGTTGCCATTTACCCAGCTCTTCAAACCAACAAAGTGGTTAAAAGATTGAAGGAAAAAGAGGAGAGAGAATCACTCATTTGCCTGTCTCATAACAGTCTTTTGAAAGATGGCCAATATACTTCAGCTGAGCATATTGCAGAGCCCTGAATTCAGCTAGATAAAGTCTCCAGGCCTTCCTGAAAGCAAAGGATACCTGCAAGAATAATGAATCGGCTCTACTTGCCTTTTTTGCTTTGGCATGACAGACTGAAAATGGCCTTAACCTGCTGGCCCCTATATAATGGGCCTTCAGTACTTCTTTTCTTTCTGCGCTCTCTCTCTCTCTCTCTCTCTCCCCCTCTCTAGCATATAGATATATATATGCTAGCCTGTTGGAGCATGCAAGGTTGCCCTGGCTCCTCTGCCCCTGCACTTCTGTGAGGTCAGGTGACATTATAGCCACCTCCCTGATCCCTGACGCATGAACAAAGAGTGCCTTCATAGCAACGGCATGTAATCAGTTTACAGCACGCCTGTGCCAGTAGACAGCCCATCTTTGGGAACTGTATCAGATGCAGGAAGGGTTTTAGCCCCATTATTTCTTAAGCTCTTGACAAATGGCTTTGTCTTAGTTCTCTCCTTATACACTGACAGTACCGGTAGGCTTGCAGGGTTCTTGTGGCTGCCAAAATGGCTCAGGGATGTAATCCGCAATGTTAGTGAAACTGACTAGATTAATGGCCTAGGCATGTCTGGTAAACTCTTCTCCCTTCAGAGGATTGTTTCCAGGCACTAAGCCTGTTCATCCTGACATGACCACTTGGTTAGGCAAGTGCACCTGCCAAGAGATCGACACTCTCTTCATAGACTCCATGCCACAATGGCAGATGCTAGCCAGTAATTCTTCAGTTTGCATGTGGTTCTCTTCCTGGCTAGTTTCTCTTCCTTCTTTCAGCTTTATCACCAGGATCATGCAGTCTAATGAAGTTGCAAATTTAATATACCCTCAGACTCTTCCAGGGAAGCAAGCTAGTTAAGGTGGGATTTGGTCAGAGACATCATTTAAAGTGTTAGCATAATCTTTAAACAAGTGTAATAAAGGGATTGGGACTTGCGAAAAGGTGCAGTTCTTGGGGGAGTAAGACCGGAAGGCTTCAGCAGAGAAGGATTAAAGAGAGAGACATCGAAGCTGCTGAGTACCCATGACTAATTGCAGACCTGTGCATCTTCAGCCTCTTAATCACTCTTTCCACACATCTTGGTTGACAGGTTCTTCTCAACCCATTTGGAAGCCTTAAGAAGAAGTAAAGGGACTTCTCTGGGCCTTTTCTTTGACACCATGTTAATTAGGTCTTTGTCCCAGGTCTATCTTTAATAATCACATTTTATTTGATGCAAAAGAATGTCACTAACTCCTGAATCCTAGGTTCTATCCTTCCTCTTAGTTCCATCTGTTTGTCGCCTCATCTCTTCGAGACTTTCTCCTTACAGTGCCTTATCTATTAGAGTTACTAGCAGCTGGCTTCCTCAAGATCTCCATAAATGCCACAGGTAAAGTAGGATCGTTAGGAAAACTGCTGTCTACTGAATTATAGAAGGATGATGTATCAATGTTTGGTCTCCAAATACTAATGGTTAAATGGCTGCAATGAAGAATAGTGCTAATCCTTTAATGAACTTTAATTGAAGACTACCAGCTTAAAAAAAAATCACTGCCCATTCATAAAAATCATTTCTCACCAGACAATGGATACAGTCCTCCACAAGAGAAATGGAAGGAAAAGCATGGAATACAAAGGAAAAAGACTACTGGGTATCTTCAGAAAGAATGTATTTATTTAAAATTACAGTTTAATAGTATAGAGTGTACTAAAAAAGATCCTAGAACTTGAGAACCACTGAAGTAATCCAATACAAGAGTTGGAAGATAATTGAGACCTTGGACCATCTGTACATTACTGAATTAAGCAAACAAGCAACCTGAAATGTAAAGATGGCAGTGCTTTGGTTAGCCACACACTTTGTTGTCAAGGGGAAGGTTGAAGACTAAATACACAACAGTGGTAAAGTCACAAAAAGTAAGCAACATCAGATGACAGGAAAATCTGTATATTCTCTTAATCTGTGCATACATCCACATTTTTGTTGTTATATTATGCAGGCAATTAAGGTGGCCTGCCCTTAGGGACCCTTAGGGTCCTGACAACATCCTATGCCAGTACCTGTGTCCTATGACATCATCTAGGTCTGCTACTTCAGGTATAACTGATCTGCCACACCCACTCTCTCTGTCTTGCTCTTACTCCTTGCTGTTTTGTTCTCTCTTCCCTTTCTGTCGGGCCATCCCCTCCTCAATCTCTGTCTCTGTCTCTCTGTCCTTATGGCTTACTCAGGCCCTAACTCTCTTCTCTTTCCCTTCCCTGCAATAAAACTTATTTCATGTAAGATCTGTTGTGTATGTGTTATCATTTTTTAAATACTAACAATTGTGATACTGAGTTTCCTGAGAGATTGCTGAGAGATACCAACCCCCTCTTCTCCAAAGTGTTTGCAATTAAAACTTTATTGTGTGTATGTGTATGATTTGTAAGGGTTAAAGTATTGCCACAGCATGCACACTTGGAGGTTGGAGGAGATCAGAGGAGCAAACCCTTGTGGAGTCTGTTCTCTTCTACTTTTATGTGGGTTCTGGAGATCAAGGTCAGGTCATTGGTTTATGCTCCAAACATCTTTACCCACTGAGCCATATCACCAGCCTTCCAAATTGTTTTTAAATATACCATTTTTATATCCTTTGAGGTTCTGGAAAAAAAATTTATTTTACTTGTTGGTTGTAGTAAGTACCTGTTACATATTCATGGAGGAATATTGTGTCATGGAAAAATTTGATGCAGGTGCTGTAATGTTCATAACCTCAGTTAATGTCAATAGCTTTCTTTAATTCTGTCTTTAATTAACTAACTAGCTAGTCAATAAGGCAGTTTTTACTTTCTTTGCTAAAGCTGTTTGCTTGCTTGCTTGTTTTTGAGACAGGGTCTCACTCTAGCCCAGGCTAGCCTGGAAATCACTACTCAGAATATAGTCTTGAGCTATCAGCACTCTTTCTGTATTAGCCTCATCAGTGTTGGGATCATAAGTGTGAGACAGCACACTCAATTCTAAAGGTCATTTCTAAATCTGGTACAAGGTTGGTTTTTTCCTACTTAAAGAAATCTCTCAGAAGGAAAAAAAAAAAGAGCTTAGGAATTAATCCATAAGGTTCATCAGAATAAGCGGCAGCGGCAGGGCTAAGGTACAAGGTCAGCATGCAGCGAACCTCTCAACACAAGCTCAAAGGCTCCAGCGATGTCTTCAGAACCCTAGTGTATACAATGTTTTATTTGGATTTTGTGATGAGCCATGCAGTCAAGGCTTTACTTCTATGTATCTTTGAAGTGAAGATGCTTAGGAAAATCTGGAGGATATTTTAGAAAGATGGAAGAGAATCAGGGCAGTGGAAGGAAGTTCCAAGATTCATTCATTTCAGTCTCAGAAAAGACCCCTTTGCCCAGATATTTTGGTTCTGTTGCTCTCCTTGGGGAGCTCCTGTCCTCTCCAGGTCTTACTAACTACCTTTCATATGATTCCCTGTACTCTGCCCAAGCTTTGGTTATAAGTCTCAGAGTCTTTAAGAAGCCCTCTGTGACAGGCTTCTGTACCGTTTCTTGTTTTCTCCTTCTTCCAATGTCCATCACCTTTGTCTTTCTAAGTGAGGATTGATCCTCTAACTAAGGTAAATTCATGGATATAACCTAGAACCCCCGGTCAGATGTAGCCCATGGCAGCTCAGTATCCAAGTGGGTTCCCTAGTAAGGGGAAGAGGGACTGTCTCTGACATGAACTCAGTGGCTGGCTCTTTGACCATCCTCCCCTGAGGGAGGAGCAGCCTTACCAGACCACAGAGGAGGACAATGTAGCCAGTCCTGATGAGACCTGATAAGCTAGGGTGGGATGGAAGGGGAGATGGACCTCCTCTATCAATGGACTTAGGGAGGGGCATGGGAGGAGATGAGGGAGGGAGGGTGCTGTTGGGAGGGAATGAAGGAGGAGGCTACAGCTGGGGTACAAAGTGAATAAAATGTAATTAATGTAAAAAATAAAAGTTTAATTAAAAAAAGATCCATTTATTTCACAAAAACTGCGGGGTGCATGCAATATGTAAAGATTTGTGTAGGTGATCAGTTAGGATATCAAATCCTAAGTACAATAAACAACAAAGGACAAACTGATGAGTAAACTAGTAGATGAGAGAGATACTAGCTAAATAGGAAAGCCCCTATGATAAATAACGTTGACCAGAGACTTGAGTGGAAGGTGTGAAGCCATGTCGATAATGACGAATAGCCTCAGAAAGGGAGACCTTGTGCGCAAAGAGCTGGAGGTATCTGTGTATGTAGCGTATTTGAGAATTGGCTTGGAACTACATGTGGCAATAAAAAGGAATAGAAGATGAGAAATCCCCGAAATCATGGTAACATAGAGACCATGGTAGACCAAAGTGGTCTTGGTGCGCAAGTGGCTTTTCTCAGTGTGGAGAATGGATGAGGGGCTACCTACAGGGGCGGGGATAATTCCTCAGCATCTGTATCACTAAAAAGCTCATCCCGCTGCAGGTAGCAACCAAAGAAAGCTGTAAGCCTGGAGAGCTCCTCACCTTGCAGGTGGCTGGACAGGTGCACACGATTTATTTTCATTAGATGTTCCCCTCCTCAAAACAACAACAACAAAAGCAAACAAATCAACAGGGGGCTGGTTTTGTGTTTGCCAGTTACTGCTGAGTGTGACGCCTGCTCTGTCCTAAAGGAAGTTAAGCCACTTGGGCCATCAATGTTCCTCACAAGAATACGTAGTACCAGGCATGAGAAACCTTTCAAATGGTCACGGTAGTGCAAGTGGCT